AAGGCATGGAACATGCAGTTTCCTGACCCTTGATTGTCAGAAATTCTGAAGCCCCTATCTGATACTATCGTCGTTAACTCCTTTGTCAAGGCAGTGTGGTTGTTTACCGTGCTTGCGCAGAGTTGCATCCGCTGGAGATTCTGGATGGTTCGCTCAAGCAACCCTAGAAGCAAAATAACTTTAGGTGTAATTCCTTAAATCATAAAATGTAGATAGAAGAGAAGGTTTCAATTATCGGATAGAAAAAAAATCTATCACATTTAAAACCGAAGTTTCGGTCTATCGTAACTATTTTTAAACTTGCTGGGAACTCCTCCTGTATCGCCACTGCAAGCTGCTTGAAACTTGTATATGATCCGAATCGGCCCCGATCTCACTACTAGTAAGGTAATATCCGCCCAAGTCAGGGCTGAGAGGGACACTTATCCAGTCGGGTACTCTAATTTAATTTTATGGAAGGCCCTACCTTCGAATGAACGAGACTTATTATGAAGATCATGTATGGGAAAATATTTCATGAGGACACAAATTGATCCAAAATCTTCACTTACAAGAACAGGCTCTTCTTTCAGGATAAACAAACACTTTCTTCTGATTCGAGAACGAGAAACAATATTGGAGTAAAAGGTCGCGGGTAATATCCTAGACTTGCCGGTTAACGTTCTACATAGCTACTTTTTTTTTCTTTTTTCATAAAAAAAATATTATGTTGCAGCGAAAGCAATAATTGCTTGTGAATAACCGGAGCAGATGACTTTTAACCTAAGATTTTTACACAATATGATATATGCCCCGCTAAAACATTAACATTTTGGAATACACTCATATCAAGAACGATAATTAAACTTGGGATGAATAAAAGTGGTTTTAGACATTTCTTTTTCTTTTTGCTATCTCTCTCTTAGCGGCACGTACAGATCGTTTCCTTTTTGGCGAAAAATTGGTGATATACACAAACTTGTAAAAATCTCTTTCATACTATGTTTTAGAAACCTCTTTTCGAGGTACAAAATGTACTCACATCAAGGACAGAATAAATTTGGGATACCACAAGAAAAGACAAGTCTAAGG